TACTGGTCCTGCACAGCACGCCCTGACCTTGGTGGTGGCCACCCTGCTTCTGCTCACTGCCTATTTATAAACTCTTACAGTGAACGTTGTCTGAGAACAGTAATGAAAAACGATTTCAGATAATTTAGTAAGTCAGAGATGGCTCTGCAAAATGGTCCTTGCCAGAGAAGCACTGCCTCGCAGCTTTTTCCAGGCCAGGGCGTTCCTTGTTGTTTTGCACAGTGCTTAGGTTGTGAAGATTATCTTCCATGAGTGCCGACTGATAAGAATTACGCATAGAAAGATGGAATTTATATGCTTTTTATATTTTTTCTAAATATTTTAAGTATTAGAAGGTCTGCGTATCTTCTCCCAGAAGCAGCAGTACCATGTGCTTCAGCATTTGGTTTTCCAGGTGTCAGATGTTAGTTTGAAAGGAGGCACAAATGAATATTCTGAGTTTGAGGAGAGTTTCATTTTACTGAAGATGAATAATAATTGAACAAAGTGTCTCATATTGACACCATCACACCAACATATATCTTTTTAGAGACAAATGTGCTTTGCAGGGAAACTGTCCTCGCATGTCAACGTCTTAGAAAATGTGTTGCATTTAGGGAAATAATGGGTCAAGGAAAAAATCATTGTCATAAATGATGGTAGGTACTTTTTACTGAAATATTGGTAGTTTTACATTCTTGACATGAATAATTGGATGTGTCATGTGTGAAGCTACCTAGAAATAAAATAGAGGTCATAAAATGTAAAGACATGATAGGATGCATTTATAACAGCATAAAACAAACTGGCATTTTAATGTCTTAAGCCAGCCCGTCTGCTATACTTGCCCATTGATCTTGGCTAGAAAAGTTCTATGACTAATTTAAGCACATTTTGAAGATAAAGCCATATAATGGGAAATTGATAGGATTTGTTTTTGTTAAAGGTATTCTCCTTTTAACTGCTACAATCCTATAACGCGATCAGAGCTGATCTTGTGTGACCTTACACAGCTTCCCCAGAAATGTTCTGTCCGCATTCTTGCAAGTGACTTTCCAGTGTAATTTACTTTGACATTTTGCTTGATAGGGATTGCAGGTCACATAGTAGGATATTACTCAACAGGCATGAAAAAGGGTTTAGTTTAGTGCTCGTTCAGTGGATTTGAGAGGGTTGCTGTTGGAGGAGATGGCACAGTTGGAGAGGGTTTGTGTGGTTGGTGCCTTGCTTCAGAAGGCATGTAAAAAGATGGTTGCCAGAGGCCCTGTCTCCAAAGTACATGCTGTAATCTCATTAATTTCAATTGGTTTATGGATGCTGTTAATTACCATGCTTGAAATGAGATTTAATATGGTTCTGCACTAGAACAACTATGACTAACCAACTAATCATTGAAACAGCATCATCCTACCTACATTTCTTTCCAGTAAGAGCTCGGTGTAGAAACCACTTACTTAAAAAAATAAAATTGTGACAGATAGTATCCTGTTTACATAGGATTGCTAGTAACCATGAATGTTTCTTAAAAAAAAAAATAAAAAAATCAAATAGTAAAAGAATTGGCAACACATCTCGTTTGCTGTGAATCTTTAGAAATGAGTATGGAGCACCACAGGCTCTCCATTGCTTCGTGCCCCATATAGTCTGTACCAATAAATACATCCAGGCAGTCGTAAAATGTTCCCATCAGGTAGTACCAGCTTGTTCTTAATCTGTGTGGATGCAAAAGTGCAGTGTAAGAGATACCTAACTGCTATCTGTATTTTCTTTTCAGTTACTCTGCAGATGGAACAGCTAACTAGTGCATAATTTGGCTGCTTTTGTGTTTTAGTGTAGGTAATGCTCAGTTAAGCCTTATGGAAGTGGCAGCATCACATATCTCGTTTTCATGCAGTTTTATCAAAAGAGCTTTTGAATTTGAATGGGCCATTCTGGAATGTGTTTCTTCGAGGAGAAGTCTCTTAGGAATTGAGCAAGGAAATTTCTTCCATTGCTGTTAAGCTAGTGATATCGATAAGGGTTACACTAATTTCAGTGCTGACATTAATGGTGTAGGTGTGCTTATGACTGTAACAACCTGCACGTGTTGGTTTGGAGCTCTTAGGAAACGCTGAAACCCAGTGAGGGCGGAACAGAGCTGCTGATTTGTTGAAGGGCATCTTTACTGTATCTGATTGTAAGGGAAAGAAAATAGACCCTGTAGAAAAGAAAACACTGAGGATAATTACAAGTCAAGAAAATGTGTGGTGTTTTACACTGCAAAAATATAAAAATGCAGGATCTGTGAATGCAACCTGCAAAATACTGAGCCACGGGACAGTATCTGTTCTGTGACATAATGCAGGATCATTCAGGATCTTTGTCTCTGGATTTAAGCACCAAGAGAACTACAAATGCCTATGAACCAATTGTTGATAGACAAGGGTCCCTCTTTTCCAAACTAATGTTTTCAGAGAGAGCAAAGCATATATCTATAAGGCTGCGTGTTCATAAATAGGAAAAAAAGCAATAGTTAATGTATGTTGCTACAGATTTATTCTAATATAGATAAACTTAAGCCATTGGATAGAAATATGAGCTCTTGTGAAAAACAGGATGATGGTCTACCCTTCCTATCGAGTTTTTTGGGGAAAAAGAATACCTAAAGAAAATATTCTCCTCTTCTCCAAAAGATAGCTTGTGTACAAGACAGTCTTGCTGAAATTATATCTCAGCTGGAAGGAAAGATGAGTTTATTTTATATAGCAGTTGGAGATTTTTAGAAATATCAGTCAGCCAGTTCCCAGAGTGGTAAATTAAATCTTGAGAGCCAGAGCTCGCTCATCAGTACGCAACGGGATGGAAGCGGCAAGGAGAGAGACTGACAACTGCATCAGGTCTGATTGTGCATGTTCTTGATGGAAAAGTACAAATCATTTCCTTCCCTTCTGCTCCTGTCATGGTCCATCACTTTAGTCCATTTTCACCTTCTGAATGGGCCCTCCTGCTTTGGCACCTAATTAATCTCTTGCAAGCCTGTTCTTGCAGCCCGTCTGCCTGGGGTGGCCCATATCTTAAGGCACCGACTCAGGGACAACATTCCCTTGATTTCCATTCCTTCCCACCCTTTCCCAGCTTTCTTTCATCCCCAAGCCCCCCAAGCAGGTGAAGGTGTGATTTTGCCTTTGGAGAGGGCACACACACTTGAGCTACAGGAAGGTAGTGGAGCACTGTGCTCTGTAAAGCTGTTCAAAACTGCTAAGTGCCCACAAAAGCACATGGCACGATTTTGGTTGTAAATGTTCAGCAACTCAAAACTCCCTTCAGTGTATCAGGCAAGCAGAAAATCGCTGACCCCTTTTGAAAAATCCCATTCCTCTACACAAATAAAACTATACGAGTGGAGATGAATAGGGCATTATGTGGTATAAAACATTGCTACGAGGCTGTGAAACAAAAAGTTATTTTATTGAAATGATTTTATTGTCATTTATCAAGCGATCATGAATATCAGATATAGCATGCACTGAGTGCTAACAGCTGTGATAATTTATCAATAGTTTAAAATGAGGCCTGGTGATAAAATAACACACGTAGTCTATATAATAGATAATACTGAAGAGTATAATCTATTATCTGTAATAGAAAAACATAGATTCTGTAAAATGATACACATAGAATCTAATATTCCTTTCAAATATATTTCTTGGATAATATTTCTGCTCAGAAGTAACTTATCTCCCTTCTGCTATCTCTTCTGTGGGGACAAGGTTGGTGTTCGGCTCAGCACAGCATCTGTGTTTCAGTCTGGGAAATGGAAAGGCAGTGCAATAGGCTGAGAACTCACTCAGTTAGATCAGTGGTTTGGGAGAGTGTCCATCAAAACCCTTGAGCTCGGCTGGCCTGTGTCTGATCTTCAGAGCTGCTGATACAAAACCTGCAAGAGCTCCAAGAGTCTTCTGGCAACATGCAGGCAGGAGGGAAAAAAATCACATCTTTAATTCCCTCTGCTGACAGCTTCCTTAATAAATATTGTAAGAAATTCTCAGTTAAGAGCCACCCAGTAATCTAATTTGCAAGCCTCAATGATATATTCAGCAGCCAGCTCGGGAGGTGCATTTCTACTGTCAGAATCACATGAGCAGGGAATAAAATTCTGAGCTGTCACTGAGAGCTGTAGTAATTTATGATGGGTTGTTGGCTTTTATTTTTTCCAACTGTTTTTTAAGCCAGCTCAACAAAGAGGATGGAGCTGCTACTGACTTGATCTTGATTATGTTTTTCCATAGTATACTCTCCTCCTTGTACATTTTCACAGGTTTTAACATCGCAAACACTGCTAAGAGATGGTGTTTTATCTATAGCTAACGAAATCACAGATGAGTTCCATATCAGCATGGGTGACTTGTATATAGCCACAGTGGCTAGTGAACGCCAGTTCATTTCAGCCTCCCTTTCACCAAGTGAAGAATCTAAGCCTTTGCCTTTCCTTCTGATGTGAATAATCCCAGATCTGTTTGTTGCTTTCTGCTTTGTCCCAGTGCATCACTCTTGGTTTCTTCCTTCTCTTCAGCTGGACTGCATTTTAGACATCATTCTGTTCTGCTGTCCTTACACAGACCAGAACAGAGGCCAAAAACCTTGTATAACACCATCGCTCTGTAGCCATCTCACAGAATCACAGAATTGCTCAGGTTGGAAAAGACATTCAAGATCAAGTCCAACCACAACCCACCCATTCAACCCTAACTCTAGCGACCCTCTGCTAAATTTGTGCAGTGCTCTAGTTGTTGTCTCTCTAGTAACTGCAACAGGAAGAGCTTCCAGTGTAGTTTTCCATCTGCGTCAGGCTCACACCCTGAACTGAGAAGTAGTAGTAGTGTTTTCTCAGAAATTAACCCATTAAAAGATAAGAAAACCAAACAAATGGATGTTACTTCATAGCTGATCAGCAGGGAGAGGGCTGCATAGAAAAAGTCTGTTATTAACTCATCTCTTGTTATCCTGAATGACAAGTGCTATATTTCTGTTGTCTTTTACAGTGAGAGATGCAGATATACCATGCGTGGTCATAAAGACTCAGTCAGTAGCATTGAATTTCTTCCATTCTCCAACGTTGTTCTCACAAGCTCTGCTGACAAGACTTTATCTCTCTGGGATGCCAGAACGGTAAGCAATCTTCCTGGTCTTTCTGGAATTCAAGCAAATTGATGACATGATAGTAGGAGAAAAATGAAAGCCAGTTCAAAATCCAAAGAGGAGGTAAGGGTGATGTGACAATGGAATATTCATTAACATAACTTATTATTCTTGGACCAAAAATACCACCCTTTAGCATTTCAACAAATGGACGTGCACCTAAATAACTGAATAAACAGGTAGACTTTGGTGTGAGTGATGGTCTGGATTAGGATGCAGCACAGTTCAGTCTTCCAGTCAGTAGATAGAAGAGCGTCAGTTGAGTTTTGTCTGGCTTCTTTTTTAAGTGCTGGCGTGTGCTTTAAGGAAATGGGGAGAGAGAGCATAGGAGAAATATAAGATGCAATAACTTGGAAGTCTGAAATATTTTTCTTCATTTAGAAGGAATTCCCCTCAGAACTCACTGCTGATTTCTCATGCAATATGTATGATTTTTCTCCTGAACATATTGCTGTAGGCAGTGTCAGAAACTGCATCTGTTTCTTTATTCTTCTATACCTCCATTCTTTGGTATAGGTATAAATGGATTTAGTAGCTTGCAGGAGTAATTGTCCCTGGTGCTTTGCAGACCGAATATGTAAATCCTGTTCAGGTCGAATGCAAGTACAGGGTAAGAGGCGTTTTCTTCTCTTTCATCAGAAAGTTCAATAATTATTGCTGCTGTTGTGATATTTCTTACTGAGCAACTCTTGAAATTCTCCAATTACCACTTCTGTTGGTCGTGTGGTCGCTTGGCATTTTGCAAACAGTGTTAAATATGGGATTGCCCACAGCAGAGAAGGCTGTCTTGATGGAAGAGGTTTGAGAGGAAAGAAGCGAGAAGCTAATGCTAAGTGTTACTAGATATTGCCATCAGAGTTCTACAAACACAGCATGAAAAAAACTGACATGAAAATGACAGTAGAATATTTGAGATGCTCATTATGCGATTTCTATTTATGGATCATAGAAACAGACTGAATAGAAGGTCGTTAATAACAGTCCTGGGCATAAAGCACAACTAGTTGGAGTGAAGCCAGTCAAGACTCATTATTATTAAATGCCTTGGTTTGTAAGAATATTTGATATCTGAACATGAATAATTCAATCAGAGAAAACATTGAAATACAGACAGAAGTAAAAAAACTCATTGGAAGACAAGGTTTCTGCTTTGTTTTGTCCTTAGTAAATCCTGCATGGAACTTCACTATGCAAATGTCTCAGTAATCTACTGTCTATAGCAAATTAACATTATGAAAGAAAAATTCTTTTACTATTAACTTAAGAAAAAAGCCCTTCACCAGCGCTGCTTTTCAACATTGAGTAGTTTGGGGAAGGTAGGAGAGGCCTTTTGCAAAACCAAAACTCTGCGTATGGCATTCTGTTGTGTGTTTATTCAGTTCAATTATTTTCCCATTTGGTAGGAAATGTTTCCAGTTTCAGAGACATGCCCACACCGGAGCATCGCTTTGGGTGGTGAAATCTCTATGAAGATGCTATCTCCCTAAATACTGAATGACAGTTAATGTTCCCTCCAGAAAGATGATGAATGATTTTCTCCCATTAATTTTGGAACAGAATATTTTCTCACCTCTGTAAGATCAATTAGCATTAAGAAGTACATTTAAGATAATTTTAATGAAACATGAAAATCATACTCCGGTTTGTTTTCTCATAAATTAGATTCATACTATTAATCACATCTTGCTCTTCAATCATTAACTTCAGTCAGCTCTTTATTATTAAAGATAATGGATGCAGAGGACTGTAAGTCAGGGCTGTGTAAGTTGAATGGACAATGAGCTCTGGATTTGGGGTAGAATGGAACATAAATCTTTGTAATTACTAAGCTGGGGCTATAATGCAGCCTTCAGACTTTGGAAATATGTGACTGCTTTTTTATTTTTTTTTCCTAGATAACATAGGGTCAGATCTAATGGTTAAAATAAATTTACAGCACAATGGCTGTAATTTTAAAACTAAGTTATATATTGCCTATAGGGAAATGAGAACACAGAACTGACAGTATTTAGATGATTATAGCTCTTTCCAAGCATTCTGGGCAGAGAAATGGAGTTGGTGTTGGATGTAGATAGGAATCGTCCTCATACTGCACCAGACTCCCACTGGATTGTGTGCATGAGGCTGAGGCTGCAATTCATGGTAGGGATTACTTGCCAGTAGAGCTGATGGCACTTGTGCCAAGATAAGCTGTGGATTTTATTTCTCTTTATGCCAGTTTTGTAGAAAGACGATCACATTCTGGCTTCTGCCCAAAATATTTTCTTGCTGACACATCACAGTGAGCATCTCTGCTCATGAATTGTAAAGTGCATCCGCTGATAAATGTGAGAGGTGCGAATGAACATGAGACCCCGAGAGTACGAGTTCACCTGCCTGCATTAATTCTTCTGGTGATAAGCAGCCTGCCACTCATCTGCATTGCCCGCATTCTGATGAGGGATTTTTTGGGGGTTGGTCAGATTTGGCAGGATAACGCTTGAGCCAAGCTGAGTCTTTGCTCTTTCTCAGGCAGATAAAATACCTAGTGTTTATACACTTAATTAAATAGAAGAGAGGAAAAAAAAAAGACAAGACTTGCATTTTTCATTTCTACGTTTTTGAAACTTACCGATTTAGTAACTGTCTCACCTGCTTTCTGCTTTTTGAAATGTCAGGTTCTACAGCTGGATATCTCATTTATTAAGTTGGGCACCGATTGTGGTATAGAAGTCAACATTTGGCAGCAGTACCCTAAGAAATGTGTCCTACCAGGATTTAGGAGGACTTCTGTGTGTTCTTAACTGGACAGTGCTCTCTCTTTCTATTTCATAGAATCATAGAATGGCCTGGGTTGAAAAGGACCTCAGTGATCATCTAGTTTCAGCCCCCCTGCTATGTGCAGGGCTACCAACCACCAGACCAGGCTGCCCAGAGCCACATCCAGCCTGGCCTTGAATGCCTCCAGTGTTCAGGCATCCAACACCTCCTTTTGTTGGTGTGAGATTGAGTGTCAATTTTGGTTCCTACAGATATTCAATTGGTTGTAGTGAAATAATTTAATTGTCCAGGATGTAATTCTGTCTTTATGATTTCCTTTCCAATGAAGCCTAGCAATTTAAGGTAAGCTCTATTTGTCCCCCTTCTTTCTGCAGAAGGCGGGTGGTAATAATACAAATGAAACAATCCCACCTCCACCCCACTATCAGGCTAAGCTCCCTGACACCCAAACAGGAGAGAATTGGGCCTCTCAGCTTTTTGCCATCTGCTTCAAAACTGATTTAAATAGGGGTAAGGCACCTCTGCAGTGACCAAGTGTAAGTTCCAGCTCTGCACATCAAGTTTTATCATGGGCTGTAAGTTGTGGGCTGAACAGCATGACCACAAGTTAAAAGCTCCGAGGTAGTGTGTTCTTTGATGAATAATGCAGGCACTGATCTCTGAAGAAAGAGGAAGAGAGGATGAGCTTGTCCCAAATCCTGTCTGAAATAATTCCCTGTAATGATAATTAGCTCTCATTGAGCTAGAAGCTGGCTGTGGCCAGAATGCTCTCATTCTGGCATAAAGGCCTCTGTCCCAAGGCAAGGGAGGGGAGCGGGAACCCAGGCAGAGCTTCATCCTGAGCTGGAGTCTCTTCATGGCCAGGAATTAATCGGGTCTCTCTCAGCCACTAGAAGAGGTTTATGAGCTTTATGGTAAAGCTTTGTATGGTGGGACATGCCAAACATTAGGGCCAACACGGTGGGTGCTCAGCCCAGCTGCCTGGCAGCCACTTTGCAGGGGTCCTCTGTACCCGCTGCCCTTCTGCAAGGAGGACTCAGCTGCTTACGTGTGTCGTATGGATGCAGAATAATGGCAGGGATGCTGAGCTAAGCTCAGTCTTGCAGTCTTCTCCTTCAAGGTGCAGCCCGTGTAATGCCTGAGGCACAGGGCAGCCCTGCTGCATTGTGCCTGAACGCTGCTCAGCTCTGACTTGCTTAGCATTCAGTTGAATTCTTCCAAATCGATATTTTCCTTGGATAACCTTCATTTGTTCTTCTCATGAAATATGAACTATCTTTTAGACCACTTATTTTTCAGCGTTTAGTTTGTCAGAATTCAGTAATCTCTGAATTGGGAATTCCCTAAAATAACCTGTTCTCTTTTTCCACTGAAATATGAGTTATCTTTTAGACTAGTTGGTTTTCAACATGGGTTTTGTCAGAACCTTTTCTTCAGTGGTTTTAACTATATGTGAGAACACGCAGATCTTTGTAGGGGTGCTGCCTTTGTGGAAATTCATTTGACCTCCTGGAGTGGGCATTCACTGGACAAATTCAGGTAAGTTGTCAGAGTATTTAAGGATCAGACACAGAGCAGCCAGGGGAGGATATTTTGAAATCCAGTCTGGTTCTCTTCGCATTTTTTGGCTGGGTACGGTTGATTTATCGCCAAGTAAACACCTTAGACACAAAATTATCAGTCAGAAGATCCTCAGGGTATTGGGTTTGTCAGTTTTATTTGAACCCTTTTGAACTCCAGAGGAATGAATTTGAGTGCTGAGCGGATATACAGGATATACAGGATAGGTCATTTAAAAAATCATTGACAGGCAGTTTATGGTTCAAGTCAATCCCCTGCAGAAGTGGGTTAAAGATTGAACTTGTCACTTTTGAAGATGAAGACCTCTTCCATGAGAACTTTGAAGCTCTTAGTGTAATTGAATTACTTTGTTGTGCATAAGGGATGTGCATGAGTAAGTCCAGTTCCTGGCATGAAGCGTAACAAATTTGGTGTTCCTCATTTTGTTGTATGTGTTTGTAAATAACGCCTTCATATTTCAGAACTCCCTGTCTTAAAATGAAAAGACATTCCTGAGTCACTGTAAAGTATGGAATCAAGATCAAACAGGTGTGAACAGAGCCTATTTGCTCCAAGAAATAACATGGAAAAGTAGAACCTGAAGAGATTTCTGTGGTAGCTGTTTGGGAAGCCTTCACAGAGGCTTAGTG